GCATGCCCTTCTTGATCTGCCCATTCCTTATGGCCACGGTGTCAAATCGTGTGATGAAAAAAGCAAAAGGATTCGGCAGGATGCAACACGGAAATGCACCCACTTGTTGAAACAATTCAATCCCCTTCATGTTGGGAGCCAACCTTCGGGACAATAAAACAACCACGTCACTTCCCTTTTCCAGAACCTCCTTGTCTTCTGGTCTCCCTCTTCACCTCTTCGTTCCCCCCCCAAAAGCTGCCTGGTCCACCACCAATCACCACCAACCCCCAAAGTCATCCAACTTCCCCGTAAAAATCACCAAAGCCATCCAGCTCGCTCCATGCATGGAAAAGCTCGCTCCATTGACAAAGTCTGGCTCTGGGCCATACAGGAAGGACTCACAGGAACCCATAGTGCGCCTTGCGGCTGCACTGCAGTGAAGAGGTGGCCCCGAATCGAAGGACGAAAGCGCCACCAGGGGGTGTAAAGCTACCGACTTCCAAGAGATGACCAGAAAGTTCTTCACCTGCACGGTACTGTAATGATTGTAGATCGTAGATGTACAAATATATGTTTGTTTGAGACAACCTGCAAGTAGCAAAGAAACCCAGAAGAGCTCCTGAAGAATCAATGGCAAGTCGTGAAAGGGATTCAAATCATCCAGTCTACTCAAATGGATTCTGGATTCTGATTCATCCAGTCCAAATGCTAAATGCCCCAGTGCGTACAGTTACAATTTACAATGCTTTGCGGTTTGGACAAGGCCGACGCATGGCAGCCAGCATACCCACGGTCGTGTGTGCACGAGGGATGTGTGTACGAGGCATGGGTGGAGGAACATGTGGATGAAAATTCGATGCCCTCTCCACTCCCTCCAACAATCGTGATGACCGTTTGGATGGTGGTATGGCCCCTGGCAAGACCATGTTCCGCATTTACAGTAAAAAAATGGGTGGTGCCATTCACTTCCATGATTCCAGGGAGTGTATAAACCGAAGGACCAACGACCATGACTTGAGAGAAGTCAAACGATCATGACTTGGTGTGAGAGAAGTCGCGCAAGCGACTTGAATCTTTAGGGTTTCGCAAAGGAAGCACAAAGCAAGCGACCACTGCACAAAAGATTGATGAAGGTGATTGTTATTGTTGGTCAAAAGGGGAATCAATCACCCCTGAGCGGCTTTTTGCTTCGAGAACATCGGATGAATCCTTGATGAATCTTTGATGAATCTTTGATGAATCTTTGATGAATCAGCTGAATATGGTTCATAAGCCTCTTCTGGTCTCGGCACAACTCAAATGCCTTTTGGGGGGCATTGGCCACATCCACCAGATCTCCTGGCTTGATCCCAAGCTAACACTTCCTACAAAAATCTGCATAAGTTGAATTTGTCCGGCAAAGACAGTGAGACACTTTTGAGTCCTGTTTTGTGGGGGAATGAACACGCCTCCCAAACCTGGTGCCCTCTTGCATCTTTTTGCTGCGGACTGATGACCCCTCAACGCTTCCCAGCGGCCAACAGCGCCTCTCTCCTCCGCTGCCGCGACTTTTCGAAAAGCACCGCAGCGGTTCTTGTCCGCTCGCGGCTCGAGCCAAGCTGGAGGAAGGATGTGCACGAGCCAATCCCGATGGAGCGAGGATGTGTGGTCTTTTGTAATGTTGTGTCTCATGAATTGGCCCAAATGCACTGGGCCAACCTCTTCTTGTGTATACGAAAACCCTGTGAACCGAAAGCCCAGTGAAAGTGAATGTGTGCCACCTGCGCATTTCATCCATGTCCAGCCATCTCCAGCCACCCAAAAAAGGAGCTCCCCAAACCGCCCTGCACGAAGCCACCAAACAGGACGCACCTCCTCCACCGCCTCGTGCAGGCCCTTGGGCACCTCGTGCAGCGAAGGAAACGACGCGTCCAACGCGTCGCCCTGTTGCCGGCCGTCGCGCCCGCTGGGTGCCCCGGCCACCGCACAGGCCAGGAGTGCGGCCACGGCGGGGAAATTCTGCAGCTTCCTCAGTGGAGTTCTGCTTCCAGACAACATGTCGCACGAGAGCTGAGGGTCCGCAAGGTATTGAGTAGCTGATAGTCCCATGGAGCACGAAAGAACCGAGTCGCAGCCGCCGGACCCTTTCTTTCGCACCTGCCACGCCTAAAGGCCATGCGAGCACGAGTTCGGCCATTAACACGCATGAGCTGCAAGCCTTCTTCACAGGCCACCCCAAGAACAGGGGAGCTATATTAGACCGACCCACTCCTGGTGCGTCTAAGTTCCAAAGCACACGGGTCATCATCTACTTTGATCAGCTCCGACCAGCCTTCTTAAGCGCTTCATCTTCAACACTGGGGGCACAGGCCGTTCAGACCGGGCGATTTGGGGCTGGAAAAGGAGAAGCGAGATCCGAGTCATAGATCTTTCTAATTCTACGTATATAGAGGAACCATATATATATATACTCGGCCTCATTTGCCTGCATGATACTTGATCCCACAACAGGGGGGCATTAGCAGCGCAGCTCACATCAAGCTCTGTACAGACTTAGCTGAGTCGCTAAGGACTTTATAAGGTTGGTGCATTTTCCACGGCAAGGGCCGAATGACCATCCAAAACTCCATGCAGGACAAATTGATCAATGATCACCATGCCGTTCGGCGAGTGCTCTGCAATGGTCACCCCTGCTAAAACTGACGTACTTGACAATGGATATGAGCAGTGTTGACCCTTAACTTAGTGTCTTGTCCTGAGTATCAGATGAAAAGGCTCCAAAATTGCTGCAATAGCTGACCAGCAATGCAAAGCATCACAGGCGTCATCGAGTCATTCCAGGTGTTACCTACGAAGGTCTGCCTACGGTCGACTGCAGTCAACTCAGTCAAGTCATTCATTTGCTCCGTCTAAAGTAATGCAGACTCTTGACAAATAAACCCCCATACGAAAAGGATGTCCAATTCAAACTAGTAGTTTATGGTCCTCAAGAGTCTACAGTACAGGATCCGAAGGTGCCTTCACCATTGATTCTATATGAATCTTCATGAATCTTCTAAGACTACCGGTCCTACCGTACTGACCCCTGCCTATTTTTTGCCGGTCTGACCGATCTCTTCAGCTCATTTATGAACCCGACACCCAGACATGCGCATGTGTATATATATATTATACTCTTATGCTTTGTGTCTTTTGCATGTTCTCTTTGACGGGTAGCTATTGTGAAAAAAGGCTTCTGCGTCACTTGGACTCTTTGAACCCCGGCAGAGGTGTTTCAAACCCGGCAGACGTTCGGAAGGACCGAGCTCCATTCTTTCCAGCTGACGAATCATTCCTTCCAGACGACGGTCAGTCGTTCGTAAGCAGCGCGTGTTTCGTAGGCCACAGAGCCACATGGCAAAACTGACTTTAAAACAAAGCGAGCTGACCAGGCATCAGTGTTTGACCTCCTCTGCAATTTGGAACTGCCAAAGAAAATCGCAGTCCCAAGCAGGATTAAAGAAGTTTTTTTCGTGCGGCGCTAGGACAAATGGGCCAAATTCTGGTTCAAAGATTGCCAGGTTTGCTGATTCACCTCTGCTTGTGAATGAGGATGCGAGAAGCTTCTCCTGCACAGACGAAGGGAGGAAGATCATGTCAATGAGTGTTCCATGTCCACTCTGATTGAATTTGGGAAAGACCACAAGAACCAAAACCTCAAGTTCCAAGTCAAAAAACACAAATCTCCAACGCATCAAATACATCGCATCACAAAATTACACCACCGTAGACTCCAAACAGTGTGTGTTTTTCAACATCGAAACACTCTGCAACCAGAGCTTGCGACGCCCAGAGCCGGGAGACAAATAAACGATTGCAAGGCAGAGGCGGATACAGCAGTCTAGAGTCTAGAGCTGGGAGACAAAGGCAAAGGATTGCAAGGACAAATGCAAAGGATTGCACAGCAGTCAGAGCTGGGAGAGAAATGTAAATTTAAGGATTGCAAGTCAGAGGCGGACACAGCAGCCCAGCACTGGGAGACAAATGTAAAGGATTGCAAGGCAGAGGCGGACACAGCAGTACAGAGCTGGGAGACAAATGTAGACACAGGGAGACAAATGTAAAGGATTGCAAGCGAGACGCAGCCCAGAGCTGGGAGACAAATGTAAAGGATTGCAGAGCAGAGCAGTCCAGAGCTGGGAGACAATTGTGAAGGGTTGCAAGCGAGAGGGGGAGAGAGGAGTCCAGAGTTGGGAGGCACATGTAAAGGATTGCAAGGCAAAGGCGGACACAGCAGCCCAAAGCTGGGAGACAAATGTCAAGGATTGCAAGCGAGAGGCGGACACAGTGGTCCGGAGCTGGGAGATTCCGACACATGGAAAGGATTGCAAGGCAGAGGTTGGCACTGCGGAACAAGAAGGGAGACAAACGGACACAGAAGGGAGACAAGGTGGACACAGTGACCAACAAGAAGGAGACAAGACCGGAGACAAAGGGAGACAGAAGGGAGGCAAGGCGGACACAATGACCAACAAGAAGGGAGACAGAGGGTGACAAGCCGGACGCAAAGACGGACACGCTGTCCCGCAGCAAGGGGGACACCCTTAGAAAGCATTGAGAAAGAAAAGGGTGGACACCAGCAGTGAAGGCACCGAACCTGGGAGACAAAAGTAAAGAAGTCACATGGGAGACAAATGAATAGAAATGATGCATGGCCAGCGGAAAAGGGCGGACACCGGCAGTACAGGCACCAAAGTAAAGAAGTCACATGGGGGACAAATGAAT